TGCGTGCCCCTCGGGCTCTACAAATACCCTGCGTGCCCCTGTCTCCCGTCTCCGCAGGGCAGAAGAAGGACGAGTTCAAGCGTCAGACAACCTGGCCAAGTGGTGCTCGAAAAACAGCCACAAAGTGGTTACACAGCCAGCTGCCACCTCTCCCTTTGCTGTGGGCACGAGACAGAACGCAAACACGACCCGACCTTCCTAGTGGTTTGCGCTGGGGGAAGCATAAAAGGATGTGGCCACAGGTGCCAGGATAGGAGCAAGCTGCAAGGCCGTGTGGGGAGGAGGCTTATTCCTTTGCCACTGGGGCGATCGCTCCAGCTGACCAGCAAAGGATACAAAAAGGAATTGCGCTTTGAATTCCGAATCCCTCACTCAAAAGCATAATAGAAGGCATGGAAGAGCTCCAGCCGAAAGCATTTTCTACAAGCAGCGAGAAAGAAACAGATGGTGGAGCTGTTGTGAACTGCCCAGAGAGCTTTGGCTCTTAGTCCATGTAAAAATGAAATAAATTGTAAACAGTAGGAATGATAATGCATGTTAAAGGCACAGAGCCCTAATACCTTCCTGGAAATAAATGGCAGCAGCTTTGGGGCAGTGGATTTGGGGCAGGGAGAGAAGCGAGAGCTTAAACCTCTCCTCACTGCCCGTCCTGCAGCTTCAAAAAATATTTAGCCAACTCACAGTTAGAACCGCATGGGAAGAGGAGGAGGAAGAGGCCGCGTGGAGCAGAGATGCCTCAGGTGGGGAAAGGGTTTGGTCCATTCCTCCCCTGCCCCTTCTCCACTCCGGATCCAACCCTTCTGCAGGGTTTCCCTTCTTCTAAAAAAGGTAACTCCGAGATTGTCTTGCACAGCATGTTATTTTCGGCTGTGCTGCAAAACACGATGGGGGAAAGAGGAGCGGCCTCTGCAGGTTTGGTAAAACCCTGGCTTTTCGGCAGGTAAATGCAGGTAAGCAGCACGAGGGGAAAAGACAGGGTTTTTTTTCCTCCTCCTCTCCAAGGGAGCATTGTTTTGAGAACAAGGTATGTTAGCTCCCTCTAGGCTGAATCCATTCAAGGCAATTAGAAAAGAATGCGAGTAGCAACATGTCCCCTGAGCTTTCTCCACTCTGACAGCTTGACAAATTCTTCTCCTTTCTTTATGAGCAACAGCAGCAATGCTGCGGTTTCCCAGGTTTGGCACAGGCCAAACAAACAAACAAGACGCAGGAGACAAGAACGCATCTTTGTCTCTTCAGAAGCCAATCGTTCGCCCGTTTGTCTTGGCACATGCTCGAAGAAGTCTGGCTCGGGCTCCTTTTTTCCCTGGACACGAGTGTTTGCCATCCTTGGAGAGCTTCCAGGATCCCGGCGGAGCCTGGCAACACAGACTCCCTGGCCACGGGCTTACGTGGTCATGCAGCAGCCACCGAAACGTCCCCAGAAGTTCCCCTGAACCAGGCTGCATCAATTGTCTCCTGTTCGTGGGATGGCCCCCCAGATCCTCCTTCCGCTCCTGCACTCATGCAGGTACATTATGATGGTTCCTCCACTGCATTTATATCCCACCTTTCTTCCTCCTGCAGGAAACCCCAGGCAACTTACATCGGTCTATGTCACATTTTTATCCTTACAACAAACCTGTAAGGTAGGCCACCTGAAATGCGGGACTGGGCCAAAGTCACTCGCTGAGCTTCATGGCTCAGTGCAGACGAGAACCTGGATCTCCCAGGACCCCAGTCCAACACACTAACCACCACACCACTCTGGGGTTTTTTAAAATATATAAATAAAAGAAAGAAAGAAAAACTCAGAACGAGAAAAAGTACCGGGGCCCTTGTACAAGGATTGTTTATACAACTAGACGCAAGCCACTCGGGTGTTTATTGATATCTATACCCCAGCTTTATTCTCCAGGTAGCTCAAGGTGGCCGAGATGGTTTAATTCCGTTCTCCCTTTTCTTCTCACAGCAACCCTGTGCGGTAGACCAGGCTGAAAGTGGCGACTGGCCCGAGGACAGTGCAGCCAGCCTCCCGAGTGAGTGAGTGAGTGAGTGGGGATTTGAACCCAGGCCTCTGCTCTAGCACTGCACCCATACAATACCCTGGTGCAGGAGTTTTGCCCCGGCTGTTAGGTGTGTGGACTGGTACAGCGTCTGGCCGTGTGGGCACATGCCAAGCAAGCGCATCTGCTCTAGGGTCCCTGGGACGGAGGCCTTCGTGCTTCAGGAAAGATTTACTGCGAGCAACGGTCCAAGGTAGTGCTCCGATCGCTGCCGTTCTCAGGAGCAAGCTGGCCATGCTTGGCTTGTTCATTATCTGGCCAGGGCCGTGCCGAGCGGCTCCCCCAGAGAGACAAAACCCTTCGCTGGGTTAAGCAGAAATCCACACCCCTTTCAAGTGGGAGATGAACCGCCTGGAACTGCTCCTTGCTGTACTGGAGATGCGAACAAAATCCTAGCCCAAGGCGCTCTCGATTAAAATGAATACGGCCAAAGTGCCTGGGACCCCTTGTTGTGGGACACTGGCTTCAGCAAACACGGTGCTTTAAAGACTGATCTAAGCAAGACGCTCGCCGTCGTAATACAGGTTCGGGGGCCTTTGGGTGGAAAGGCAATGCATGAACCTTCAAAGCAACTGCAACTAAAATAGCTGGCCATTTGTTAGCCAGGCTCCTGCAGCAAGCAGACCACCCCCGATGCCTGGGCTATCCGTTTCCAGCTGCCCAGGGAGTCTCTGCAAAGGGATCCTGCCCATCGGGTTCCCCAGAAGGATCCCAGGCTGACAGGCAGCCCTCTGCCAACTCGGCCTCCTTCAGCTAAGCCCGAGAGCTGCCGCTGGCAGGGGAAAGGGATCCGTTAAAGCCACGCTTGTTTTTCTCGCAAAACTAAAATTAGCTGCTTGCAGGAATCAAGCCGGGGTGGCAGCGGCAGTGGGGAAATTCCTGCAGAGGTGAGTGACAACTTTTTGCTTGCTCCTCTGCTGTAGGGAGTCCCCTCCCCAGTTCCTTTTCCCAACCTGAGCAACCAGAAAAATAAGAAGCTTCTAATTCTGCCTTGGATAGGAGAATAAGATGAGCAGCCAGAATCTGGGCTCCCAGTATGTTGCACTACATTGCGTTCCCTCTTGCTATCAGCAAAGGTACATGCTCCTATGATAAAAGAAAGTTATGATAATCTTGCACCCGTGGAAAACAAGAGAGGCAGCTCCTGGGAAGCAGCGAGGTGTGGCGGGTAAGCATAAGAACAGGGAGATCTGGGCCCTGATCCGCCCTCAGCTACTCAGTGCTCAGGTAAGGAGAGAAGTCCCCACCTTCTGAGCAGAGTCTAGGCAGCAGCCCTGCCTCAGCTCACCAGGCAAAGAAAAACATTGACACAGAACATCCCCTCCACTTAGAAGCCCAAAGGGTTGGGCCTGGCGGGGTGCCAAGGCTCTGCCCTGCGGGCTACGTCTCAGCAATCTTGCCTGACCTCAGAAGGAAGAGGAAGGGCCGCTGGAAACAACATGGGGGAGGCTTGGTGGGCCCCCGCTGCGTGTATGAGTGCCCAGTGCTGTCCTCTCGGGGACCAGGATCTCCTTGACGTGAAGAAGGGGTGGCCAGTGGAAGCGCTGCCCCACGTGCTTCTGCTCTGGCGAATCTCACGCAGAGGCTGGACAGGCCCGTGCAATCCGGGCTCTAGGTTGAGATTTCCTGCATCAAGCAGGAGGCTGGGCTAGATGGCCTCCAGGCCTCCCCCCAGTTTTATCTGGGACGGTTGGATAGGCAAGTTTTGCTGCCTAGCTCCCTCCAACCTCTGCCCGAGGCTGTTCTTCCAAGCACAATGGCCAAGGAACCAAGTTACCGGGACAGCCTCCGATTCAGAAACCGATTCACAATTTGGGCAGCCCCCAGTTCAACTTCCAGTATTTCTTCGACCTTTCAAGCTGGACTTGGGTAAGCTTTGGGCTCTCTTTCTCAAGCTCCCATCTGCAATATGGTTTTATTGTAAGGCCATCCAGGAACGATTTGGTACTGGACGGTATACAAACATTTTAAAAAAATATATATATATGGGGGTAACATTCCTGACCTGCCTTCAGAATCCAAGATGAAAAGACAACGAAATTTTGAAAGTGCTCTGTACGAACATGCATGATTTATGAATTATTAGCAGCGACCCATTGGTTGGGAGGGTATTTATTCAAAGAAATTCTTGAGTAAAGGATTAATAAAGGCATGGAACAAATATTCAGTTCAACCTCACCGGTTTTTAATGATGCTTGACCCTTGGAATTGCTCTCTGCTGCTTTTATCTGCTTCTTTCTGGGTTTTTATTTAACTTTTGCTGGCGCTCTCATCTTTTTATTTACTGATTTCATCTGCTGATGTTCTACACATGTTTGTGCACCGGCTTTGTGGATTTTATTTGTGCCTGATCTTGAAGCTATTTTGCAAACATATATCAAGGCAAACATATGAAACTAATAACGAATAATAACGCAACCACTCTGGCTAGCATTAAAGAAGGATGGAGATTATTACTGTGATTATAAGTAGAAGTAGCAGCAGGAGTAGAAAAATGTTTTATAATATACTGAAATATTTCGCTTCTGTGTTTGAGCTTTGGGAGCCATGGGAATAATTCAAATACAGAACTTGTTTTAAGTGCTAAAAGACCACGTTTTAATTGTGATCGCAGCAGCAGCTACAATAGCCTCGTATTACAGAATGGTTTTATGGCAGAGGGAGCTCAGAAGTAGGTCCTCGAATGCTTTTATAGCTAGGAGGAAGGAGCTGAGCTGGATGACATGAACAGTCCCGTTCTGCACATCTTTACTCAGGAGTAAGCCATTCTGACCTCAGGGAGCTTCACTCCCAAAGTTCACAGGATTACAGACCAGCTGCTCAAACCAAGTCCGTTCAGACCCACAACTTCCCAGCTCCTAGTCAATATGCAGTCTTCGCACTTGCATATTGTAGTTTAGTCGGTACTATTCTGGCTTTTTTTTTTTTTACCAGGATTCTGTTATTTTTCAGTGCTTCACTCCAGGAGAGCGAAAGTATTGGATGAGCCAGTCCTACAGCGCCCGCCGGTTGCCGAAAAAGCAGGAAATGCATCCACGAGAGGGGGCAGCTGCAATTTTAGGAAGAACGAAAAGCATTTAAAAAGAAATATGTCCCACCACGGTGCAGAAGATGGTAAGTCAGTACCTGCTAGATTTTAAGGTCCTGACAGATAACTCCATGTCCCCTTCTCATTCTCTCCTTATGGTTTAAACAGAGGACACCTTCAAAGAGAAGAATGGCCTTTGGAAAATAGGACCTGTGTCCCTCTTGTTTCCAGAGGGGAAACTGTTAGTAGCTCTGGAAGCAAAAGAAACGTAAAAGCTTGCGGCACATCGGAGCTCGCAAATGCTTTTTTGGCCTGCGGCCTGCGGCCCGCCTTCCAAGTTAAGATAGAATTTATATCCTCAGCTGGCAGAGAAAAAGATCCATGGGGATCAGACCCAGCCGGCTGTTCCCATCCTGGCCAACTACATGCCTACATGCAGCCCATAAGCAGGACCTAAGCACGGCGACACGCCACGGACGCTGCGAACGGTGGTGGCAAGGAGAGCCATTTGGTACAAGTGTTCGCTTCGCTTCGGAGGTGTCACAGCGTTTGCGTTTCATGTCCGGCTCCCCCACCGTTTACCACGCTCCCCCCCCCTCCACATACACACTTCTCAGCACCTGCCAGCTCAGGATAAATATTTCATGAAGCTTCTGCCACAATCAATCCATCACTCTTTCTAGGGGCTGAAGAAGGTTATTTCTGTTTTAAAACCAAGAAACACGGTGGAAAAGGTGGCAAGGAAGGAAAACTCAGTTGAGGGGAAAGCAGGGAGAACGGAAGCAGGCAGGGATCCGTTCCGGTGGCCGTAGGAAGCCCCGTAGCTTTTCTGAGCCCACTCCTAAAGCCTCTTCCTCTTCTTTTGCAATCTATGCCCATCCATCAAAGAGCGGAGCGCTGCTTTGCTTCTGCCCAAAAGCTTCCCGGAACTGGATAACCTTGCATAGCACTTTTCCAAGAACGGTCTCCTATTTTGAAGGTCTTCTCCCTTCGTGCAATCCGGGTCTCATGTAACTGGCAAAGAAGCAGGGCAGCCTTGAAGTTGCCAACAGCCACACTCCAATCCTGACCTCAGTAGTTTTGCAAAGGTGCCCAGAGGTCCTCTTTATATGGACGCATGCACATGTAATTGCAGAACTGTGGTGGCTCACTCCATCTAGGCATGACGGCAGTGTGCTGCCTTCAAGATCAGCAGGAAGCTTCCCTCCAGTGGCTCGGGAACAATATTGATGGTGTTTCGCTCAGAGAATCTCATGGAGGTTAAAGCTGTCTGGGAATTCTAGCCACGGTGGAGCGTCACGGCTGGGAGTGCGTCGTCCGATGCTTTTTCACATTTTAATTCAACTGATTACCCACTACTCTTTTCTGCCATTACTACAGACAGGGATTACATGGCAGGAGATGGATTGTTTTGCTACAGAGATGGTGGGGCCTAGTAGTTAGAGTCTTGGACTGGGCCTCAGGAGAGCTGGGTTCTAGTCTCCACTCAGCCATAGAGTTCACTGGGTGACTTTAGGGCAGGCATGTACTCCCGACCGAGCTCACCTCGCAGGGTTGTTGTTGCGAGGATAAAATGGAGAGGCAGAGAGCCTTATCAGTTGCTATGGATTCCTTGCAAGGGGAAGAAAAACAGGGTAAAAGGCAGTGTAGTAATAACCAGCCTTGGTATGGTTGTGTCTCCGTACTTGAATGCATCTCCCCAGTGAATCCTAGCTCGACGACTCTGGCCAGAGAACAAGACGTGTACATTTTAGGAGCCCAGCTGGCATAGTAGTATCCATTGCCAAAGGCAGCATGCAGAATTCCGTGTTTCCAAAGTGCTGAGGCAAAGTTCATTTGCCCCTGAGATTTCAGAAAAAAAAAAAAAGAAGAAATCAATGGGAAAAAAGGATCCTACTTTCTGCGATTGACTGTTTTGCATGAGGTCAGTCTCTGTGGAGTCAGTGGAATGAAATTAGCAGTTCAAGTGAGTTCCGATAGAACTGAGCTATAGAGATGCCCCCCCCCCCAAGACTTTTCCTCTATAGCCGAAAAAGAACTGGGGAAATAGGTGTGCTTGAGCAGCAAAGCAGCTGGAAGAGAAGGGGCTAAGTATCCCCCTCCCATTAATTTCTAAAAAAAGGGAGGAACCAAATGTGCCGTTTCACCGAGAAGTAATGTGGCTGCAGCCCTCGACAGAACATTCTCTTCTCTGTTTGATTTCTCCAAAGTGCTGCAGAATGCGAGTTCCAACAGGCTGAAGAAGGCTTTCGGGAGGGGGAAAGAAAGAACGAGGACCCCCCCTTGGCTCCCCCCGCTCACACACCTTCTCGTCTTGTTGCGAACCGCTCCAGAGGCTTAACCACTAATCCATCAGGTTTCTGAAACAGTCGAACTCCACCAAGATGCTTGGGGAAAGCGTGCGCAGCCGCCCTGGAGCAGCAGAGCCTCACACACCTGGACACGCAACGTGCGGCCGGCAAGTCCAGCGCCACGCACCGCTGGCCACCTCGGGACGTGCGCAGGCCTCTCGCCACACAGAGCCAGAGCGGCCCGAGCGCAAACCACATGGGGGCAGAGGGGGAATGCCACAGGACAAGACGCATTCCAGCACGGCAGCCTTCCAAGTATTTGCTATCTCTTGAAACGCATCTACCTGGCCAGCTTGCCCTCGGGCGATCTTTCACCTGCGAGATGTGGGGTGGGGGGAGCCCTCCGTCTAACAAGCCATCCTGTCGCAAGGCTCCAGTCTTCTGACCTTTTCATCTGCAGCCCCCAAAACACCTGGCTGGACAGGAGAAGGCCCGAGGTTCAACCCCGGGCACCTCCGCGGCATTTTTATACCTCCTTTCCTGAACCGAACAAGTTGGCTTTCAGGAGCGAAACTTGTCGACACGCAGATGTAGGAAAGCCCCAAGAACAACGTGAGACTGCAGTCTTGCTGCCCTTGAACCTGGAGGTTTGCAAACACCTGATGCCAGGTGGGAGGCAGGGCAGCGATCTCCAACCCGATGACCCAAGGCAGAGAGGGCGGGCCACCAAGCACACCTTGTCCAAGCCCCTCTGCCCAGATCTGGAGCAGTGAAGACCCCTCCCATGTCTGATGGCCCAGTTCCTCAAGGCTCAGCCCTCTCCCCCTTGCTCTGTGGGGAGTTTTAGCTCCCCAAACGAGCACCCCCGCCCAGGGCAACCTTCTGGCTGCCCTTTCGAAGCCCACGACCTGGAGAATTCTCCTTGAATGTTGCACAGTTGGTGGCCAGAAGGAGCGTAATGTTTTTAATACTAAGTTAGGGGCAGTCGCTTGACAGAAGGAAGAAGTGGCAGGCCTGCTTTGAGCATACACAGAGTGGCTTTCCCACAGCAATGAATACACTGCCTGAAGGACTGCCTTCTCCCATACGTGCCTGCCTGGCCATTAAGATCTGGGCAAGAGACCCTTCTGAAAGAGCCATCCCTCAAGAAGGTGACCCCGGGGAGGGGGTGGTAAATAGGAGAAGGGCCTTTTTGGTGCCTGCCCCCGACCTGTGCAGAGGTTCACCTGGTGCCAACTCTGCTTCCATGTCAGCGCCCGGCAAAAACATTTCTCTTCCCCACCTATTTTAATAGTTCCCGTTTCCTGATTGTTGTGCACTGTCTAGAGCGTCTTTTTGGACTATTTGGTGGCTCACAATTGCAAAAACAAAACAGCCACAGTCCCTTCCAGTGTGGCACCATGAAAAGACTTTTGGCTCCAGGGCTGCTGTTTGCTTTTTGATGTCAGCAGCTTCTTGCTGTAAAGGAGCTGCTGCAAGTCAGAGGCCAAAAGCTTCACAGGGACTAGCACCTTGAGATTACGCTGAAGAGCAGGGGAGGAAATGCTGAGAAGACTGGCAGTGTGTGTGTTCCAAGCAGCAAATCTTTTATGCCCAAGCCCAGTTCTTCCTTCTTGACAGTGGTCAGAGGCAGGGTACTTCTGAAGAAGAAGAGTGAGATTATGGATGCCTCTGGCACATCTTCTCAACTTTGCACTCAGGACGAGGTGCAACAGTGGCACGATCTACTCCGGTGTGTGACATGGAACGCCGTTCACCCTTCCGTCGCTGCCCCCGGGGCTAGAGTTTGACCCAGGCGAGGCATCGGAAGCACAGTCGCAAGGTAGAGCCAGCTCACTCATAGGATCTCACCCTGCTGCTAAACTCATGCTGGGATATGCTGGGCAAATGCTATTTTTGGAAGCATTACTTCCAAATCACAAGAACTAGTAGTTCCTCTCTACTCCTCACTGGTCAGACCTCACCTGGAATACTGTGTCCAGTTCTGACCACCAAGATTTAAGAAAGACGCGGGTAAATTAGGAAGGGTCCAGAGGAGGGCGACAAAAATGATCCAGGGTTTGGAAATACTGCCCTGTGAGGAGGGACTGAGGGAACTGGGCATGTTCAGCCTAGAGCGGAGAAGGCTGAGGGGGGACATGATATCCCTCTGTAAGTACCTCCAAGGCTGTCACAAAGAGGAAGGCCAAGATCTCTTCTCGCTGATACCAACGTGTAGGACATGGAATGATCAACTCAAGTTGAGACACACCGGAGGCATTCAAGGTGAAGCTGGACAGCCCTCTGAGTGGGATGGTGTGACCTGCTGTCCTGCAACAGCAGGGGGTGGACTTGATGGCCTTCACAGCCCCTTCCAACTCTACTATCCCACGATTCTATGATATGGCACCCCGCCCCCAAGCCCCGTGCCTTGCTTTTCTCCCTCCCAAAAGTCCTTCCACCAGGGGCTGCTCTTCAGAGCCATTTCCATTCGAAAAGTTGCCTCCCTCCCCCGCTCCCTCTGGGCACAGCTGCAGCTCCACATGTCCAGATGGATACAGAAAACAGGCCAGGCATCCTGCTCTGTAGGAACTCGCCATGCCGATAAATAAGCACCGCTCCCCCCGGCCCCCTCCGCAGCATCCCGTCCTCATCTCTTCCAGAGGACAAACTCAAAGAACCGCGCCTGGTGACTCACACAGGCACTTCGGAGAATCCCAACTTGGGGTCACCGTCGGAACAACATCAAAGGACAGCTGTGCTGGGAAGCCCGGCTCTGCCACTTCGCGCATGGCCCGGGCCTCCGAACCCCAGCC